CTGCTGTACTACCGGTAGTATTTTGGCTCGTGCCACCCTTGGGATGCTGCCCTTTCTTTATTTACAACGTAGGAATATGGTACTTAGTAGTACTTGGGGGTGGGGGGCTCTCCACCGGAGAAATACTCCGTAAGTACAGTAGCCGATTGAGGCACCTATGCAACCACCAACTCAACTTGAAAATTTTACTTTCGATTATTCTACTTCTAGTACTCAGTCATTTGCCTCCCAAGCCGAAGACAAATCATGCGATATCTTCGTATACCAAGAAACTCGACTGTCAATTACCTCTTGATCGGCATCCTCACCGAAGAATACCTTCCGAAAAAAGCAAAGCTACCTATTTGGCGGGGCTAAGCCCGGGTCTCAATCGGCCGTTTATTTCTCCGGTGGGGAAGGCGGGGTCTCCCCCATGAATACATATCGAAAGTATAATTTTGCAAACGCTCTTATTACTGTAGGGCTCGAATTAATAATCTTGCTATTATAGCGATTTCGCTCTGAAAAGTACAGTACCTTAAAGACAGGTAGGGGGTCATTTGAGCGGTCCTCTGACCCTCTTTTACAAAAGACGGTTATTGGACCGTTTAAAATAAGTACTAGTTATAAATCAAGAATAGTTCACCTCTTCGATCGTCCCCGAGCTTAGAATCGTCTTATAGTCGTCCCATAGCTATCCTCGTTTATATTTTTAAAATAGGCTTATTGATAAGCTCCTTTTTAAAAAATTGAAGTAGTTCGATAATTGTTCCTAAAGAGATATAACTGTAAAATAATAATCATCTCTTAAATGGAATTCGTTTTAATAATAATTTAATAAATTTGATGCCAAGATACTTTTCGGTATCGCTGCCACGGCTTACATATCAACGCTTTAAATTTTTTGTCATCGGAATCGATCGATTCAGCAAAAGTTCGGCCGCGCAGGTAGGCTACCTTCGTCTATTAGACCAGCGGCGTGGTTGTGGGAGAGTATAGTAGAGGGTAGACTAGTAAGCAATAGAAAAAAAGAAAAGATTATTTGATTAGTAATCCACGTTCTCCGGGACGGTCTCAAGTTGGGGGACGTCCTTGGGACGGCCATGGAACGGTCTTAAAAATGGTCTTCAAATGCTCGAAAACGGTCCTAAGACGGTTTTTATGCGAAAAGACGAGCATTTAAAAAAGACGATTTAATCAATCAAAATAGTTCCATCTCAGCTACGATTTAAATAATTCCAATCGTTTTTTTTTTTTTTCAAAATTCTATTCAATCTTAAAAGCATCGGCCTAGGGTGATCCACCCGCCATGCCAACTTATTAAAATCGTCCTTTAAGAGAGATAGTTGTCAGACGATCAGCTGACCGTTTAAAAGCTCCGGCATTCCCCTTTAAGGTGTCTTGGAGTAATTATATAGTCTATGCAGTTTGAGCTATTTACTTAAGTGGGAACCCCCGCTCTAGGATTTATGGGGCGCAGTTTGAGCCAGGATATTTGGAAGCCACCGCTCGACGATTTATGGGGGCTAGACTGGGCCCGACCTCTGCGGAGTAAATAGACATAGGGAGGGATAGTACATAGTACTACTACTACGTATATCGAAAGAGCTTTCACAAAAAAAAATACGTGAGGGCAGGTAGAGTTCGCTAAGGCTTTGATCAGTAACGGTAGCAGTATCAGCAGCGTTTTGTTACGTAGTAATTGTACTACTATAATAGGATTTTAGCTGGGAGTAGTTTTAGGATGGGATAGGCTATTAAAGGGAGGGGAAGGGGAGGGGAAGATGTTACAGTAGGGTTAAGAAAAAGCTAAAGCGAGAGAGTAGAAGTTACTACTACTACTAGTAGTAGTACCGGTAGTACATCGCACAACGGGTAGTACAACGCACAACGGGTAGGGGAGGGTAACCAGGAGGGGGGCTTTAAGTGGAGATTTAGACTTTTGAAGCAACCCTCAGGCTGTACTGGAAGGACTACAATTAGGCCTCTACCGTGATACTAGGTGGTACTAAGTAGAAGAACACTTACGGAGCCTTTTTCGGTCTTGGCAGGGTTTTCTGGGCACGGCATTTGCTATTGCAGTATTGCTGACTGAAAGAGGCAAGCCCGGCGGCGCTTGGGGATCCGTCGTTAGCTAGTCAAGTCTCGCTTACGGAGTCTGAAGAGAGAGAGAGAGAGAGAGAGAGAGAGATGGGTGAGAGATTCCCTTTGGCAAACTTGGTTGATGCTTTTTGATGAAAAGAGGATGGCTCGTCAAATTTCATTTACAGCAGAGTTTAAATTCATTTACAGCTCGCAACCGATCCTACTACCTTTATGTACAAAACGCCCAGTTAACTATAAAAGCGTAGCAATCCATTCCCAAGCCCCCAAAATTCAACGCTCAAAAACGGATATGCCGACCACACACGATTTTGTTTCCAACTATTCATGAAGCACCTGAAAGTCTTCATAAACGCCGAATACGCCCCACCTCCCCTCTGGCTCGTCATTCCCAGGCAATGATTGTCAACTGGACTTTTAGCACAGGATGCGGATGAAGTAGCACTTCAATCCCTTCTTGATGCCCTTCTTGATGCCCTTCTTGATGCCCTTCTTGACGCCCATCTTGACACCTTGCTTGAAACCCTTACCGAGGCCCTTCTCCATGCCCTTTCTGACGCCCTTTCTGACGCCCTTCTTGACGCCCTTCTTGACGCTCGTCTTGAACTTTCTCTTGAGACCCGCTGTGAACTCCGTGTCCCATTCAAACCCGTCAAATTTTTTCTGAAGAGATCTCGTCAGCCTATAGATTTCTCATAGCTTTACTTATCTGAAAAGGTACACTTTACTCGGTAGACGGGAAGGTCGAGGGCCACGAAAGGGGATCTGCGAATGAAAGGACGTGGGACTTACCTTGGGCAAGGGCTCCACTTCACGTTTCCGCAGCGTCTCCTCCTCCTCCTCCTCCTCCTGCTCCTGCTCCTCGAACTCCTCGAGCTCCTCCTCCTCCTCGTCACCTACCATGCTGGGTGTCCAGTCTCCGCGTTTGAGGAGATCGTCATAGCTGACCGAGCGCGGGCTAGTGCGAGATAAGGCTGCCTCCGCGCTCCGTGGTGCCAAGATCTCTGCAGCTTCCGGAATGGAAAGGCCTTGACCTGGAAGAGGTGTTGCGTTGATGGAGGCGATCGCTGTAGCGAGGATGAGGAGGGTTGACAGGTCGAACTGCATTTTCCCGGTAGGATGATTAACTTTTAAGGTTAAGATGTCTCGATAGTGAGTGTATTATTGTTATAAACGAGAGTGTGTTGTTGTTGTAGTTGTAAACGAGTGTGTTGTAGTTGTAAACGAGTGTGTTGTTGTTGTAAACGAGTGTGTTGTTGCTGTTGTAAACGAGTGTGAAGTGTGTTAAAAGAGTGTGTGACTATGTCTTGAAGATGAGAGAGAGCGAAGACTGTGGTGAGACGCCCAGAGAACAGTTGGAGATGGATTATATATACTTCTTTGCAGGCCAAATGCCATAGGGCGTCATCACCCGTGTGGTAATTACCACCGCACCTCTCGAGTGTCAGAAATGGAAATGTCAATACTAGGATAATAAATTATAAGTCCGATAAGACTTGATTAATGAGGCCATCGAGGACGTAATACGAGTCTATATAAAGCGTTGCAATCTCTTACCCCAGATAAAAAAGATCAACAAAGATTGCGAGGCCGTAAATAGTAGGCCTAATGTAAATTTATCGTGACTGCATTATAACGGGCCGCACGAATAATTTGACGGTGGTGTAAGTAGGCGAAAATGGTGGGCCACCTCTGTAATTACAACTACCGAAATACCCAGCTGTACTCCGTACAACTAATTGCGGAACAGTAAGCGAGTGAGTTGCAAGGAGGGGGGATCGTGGAATGTTGGAATGACAAAAATACCAAGATTAACAAGAACAAGAATAACGGTGGCCTAAAAACCGGGGCCGCTGAATCCCGATCTCTTGGTCCGCCGACGTTTCGTTCATTCGTTCATTCGTTCGTTCGTTCGTTCGTTCGGCTGATCTATTCGTAGGTATCGGCACTATTGGGGCGACAAGGTCAGGGACCGAGGGACCCAGAGACCCAGGGACCCCAGAGGCAAGCCCACCGGTCAAGCAAAAAATAGCCACAACCACAACGACAACCTATCAAATTCCCTATCAATTTGCCTCTGGGTCTCTGGGGGACCGATAAGGGCCGTGAGACGGCTGGGACGGTCGGGACGGCTGAGATGGGTGGGTGGAGATGGAAGCCTGGCCTGGATAAGCTCTCAACTCGCAGCTCTCAGCTCTCACTCAGCTCTCACTCGGCTCTCTCTCAACTCTCTCTCAGCCCTCTCTCTCTTGCTCAAGCTCATGCTACCCTCCAGTCTCCAAGGCATTGACAGCGCCTGATGTCTTCGTCGTCGTCGTCGCCGTCGCATCGCATCGCATCGCACATGCACATGCACCCGAGGCCGAGAGCGAGATACAGCGCACCGCTATAGTACAACAGCTGAAAGCCTCCCCCTCCGTCCGGCCGGTCGGCCATCCTGTCTTGTCCTACTCTGCCCAGCGCAAAGGCGACACGAAAGGCTCAAGAAGTCAAGGCCAGCCAGCCAGCCAGCCAGTTTCTTGGCCGCTGCGCCTCTTTTACCGCGAGATCTTACTGTACTCCCTCCGTACGATACTCTCGTGGGGGTACAGGTACTACTATATCAAGGCCGACGGCAGCCAAACTATCGCATCCCCCTCACGATCGAAATCATGAGCGATAAGGACGTCGAGAAGGGAACGGAGGGCGGGCTAACCAGGTATGAGTCGCGCAGCGCTGCGGCCCCGAGCTACCGGAGTGCAGGCGGTCAAGAGCCAAGTTACAACCATTACGAGGAAAGGACCGCGTTCCAGCAGCCGTATTACAAAAGGGTGCTGGAGAGCTTCAAGCGGGATCCGGCGCTGAACATCACGCCGAATGGGGTCATTGGAGCCAACGGTCATGTCTTCCACTCGGAACTCGCCGCTCAGAACACCGCGAACTCGCCGCTCGCCAGAAAGTTGAAAGGGAGGCATCTGCAAATGATTGCCATTGGCGGCTCGATTGGTAGGCATTTGTTACCATTTTGTTTTCTTTAGAGGTTATACAAAGGTCTAATCCAGCCTAGGAACGGGACTTTTCGTAGCATCCGGAAAGGCTCTCGGAGCTGGCGGTCCGGCTTCGCTACTCATCAGCTTCTCCCTCATCGGTATCATGCTTTACTGCACGATGCATGCCTTGGGAGAAATGGCTGTGCTGTTCCCAGTCGCAGGATCCTTCTCGGCCTATTCCACGAGGTTTTTGGATCCGGCGTGGTAGGTAACGGGAGAAGATGCCTCCCCTTTTTCCTATCCTCATCCCCACACCTCACTAGACGTGCAAGCGCTGACTTTTGCGTGTCCTCTCCAGGGGTTTTGCAATGGGCTGGAATTACTGCATGCAGTGGTTGACTGTTCTGCCCCTTGAGATCATCGCTGCATCGATGACCATCAAATTCTGGGAGGAGAGTCCGAATTTTAAACACGCAACTTACGTCGCTATTTTTCTGGTACTCGTCGTCGGCATTAACATGTTTGGCGTGAAAGGGTGAGTAAGATTCCCTGCAAGAAATTGCTAGTCAACTAAATTCTTCAATGCCGGTAGATTTGGCGAAGCGGAGTTCGTGTTCTCGTTTATTAAGATCGTTTCTATCATAGGATATATGTCCGTAGTACTCTATACACATTTGACCTCGTCTCTGACACTCAGCAGTATCCTCGGTATCATCTTGAATTGTGGAGGTGGCCCAGACACCGGAGTATGTGCGGTTCCCTGCTTTGTTCGTCAAAATTTCAGAGACCTGGCTCTGAAGATATGTCTTCGGAGCTAAGGTTCCATGACACTTCTAGATCCTGGACCTTTTCTGTATCCAGAACTAACTTGAGCGAAGTATATCGGAGCGCGATACTGGCGAAATCCTGGCTCATTCCACGACGGATTCAGAGGACTGTGTAGCGTGTTTGTGACCGCTGCCTTTGCCTTTGGAGGAACCGAATTAGTTGGTCTTGCTGCTGCGGAAACCGCCAATCCTCGGAAGTCGCTACCAACGGCGATCAAACAGGTCTTTTGGCGCATTTCGATATTCTACATCGCCTCGTTAACAATCATTGGCCTCCTCGTTCCCTACAACGATCCGCGCTTGGTCGGGGGAGGCCACTCCGATGCAGCCGCATCACCCTTCGTCATATCTATAAATAACGCAGGTATCGAGGTCTTACCCTCAGTAATGAACGTGGTTATTTTAATCGCAGTTCTTTCCGTTGGAAATTCTGCAATTTTTGGGTCTTCCCGAACGCTGGCCAGTCTCGCGGAGCAAGGCCAAGCACCTCGGATTTTTAGCTATATCGACCGCAAGGGTCGTCCTCTGGTAGCAATCTGCTTCGCGTCGTTCCTCGGGCTGCTTGCGTTTGTTGCCGACTCGGGCCAGCAGGACATAGTGCTCGACTGGCTCCTCGCTACCTCGGGGCTCTCGTCAATCCTCACCTGGGGCTCAATATGCCTCTCGCACATACGCTTCCGGCACGCGTGGAAGGTTCAGGGCCACACTCTGGACGAGCTTGCTTTCCGCTCGCAATCGGGCCTTATCGGCTCCTGGATCGGCTTCATCTTCAACTGCCTTGTCCTCATAACCCAATTCTGGACCGGCGCCTGGCCCGTCGGCTACGTGAACCTGACCATGTCCGAGCAGCTGCAACATTTCTTTCGGGCGTACCTCGCGGCCCCGATCGTGGTGCTGTTCTACCTGGGATACAAGTACTGGTTCAAGACGCCCTTCATGCGGGCCAAGGACATGGATTTGAAGACGGGGAGGCGGGATCTGAACTTGCCGGAGCTGATTGCGGAGGAGAAGGCGGAGAGGCAGTCGTGGCCGCAGTGGAAGCGGGCGTATAAGAGCCTCTGCTGAAAGTTTTGTTTGGGCCAGCATGGAGTCTCTGGTGTTTTTATGTTTGTTTTTTATATACCCCATTTTTTTGGTTACCCAAGTTTCTGGACAGAAGGATCGAAGATGACAGCTATGCGTGACGAGCGGGAGGACAGCGTGGGCGTTCTATATAGGCAATTGGATGAAACGATAGGCTGGAAGGAAACCAGAGGGTCCCGTGGGCGCTTGTAATCAGGTCATGGACAGACTGAAAATCAGCTCTACTACAAGACTTTTATCAAGACGAGTCTCAATCACCGTTTACGACGAACACACGTTCATTTTTTCTTTATCGTTGGCGATAAAGCCTTACATGCGTACTCGCTCCGTCATTCACTCACTAGGACTATGGAGTGCGGGTATACATAGTCAGGGTGGAAGCTTTCTCTCTCCTCTCCATCACAACCTCTCTCTCTCTCTCTCTCTCTCTTTCTTTCTTTCTTTCCTTTCCGCGATATTCCTCGTACAATAAGTATTATGCAGGTATGTATAGATATGCCCTTGGCGGCGACAAGTAAGCCTTCGACCCAAGTCTCGGTGCCGCCTTGAGCTCGGGGAAAAAAGCGTTTCTCCGAGGCGAGGCCGCGAGAATGAGCTTGTTCATCCGATGACTAGGAAGTTGGCTATGCCCATTGTAGCCGGCCAGTCGGCAATTTGAAGAATTGATATCGATAAGTGGTGAGGGGTTTTTTTTTCGTCCCTCACCATCACCATCACCCCGACATCCACATGGATTCTAGCATCTCGGTCAATGTCATGATGCTCGCAAAGCAGCTCCTCGTCGTCGCGTCCTTGTATGTATAATAATATATGCATGGGCCACCTACTTCCTCGTCCCAAAATTCCAATTCTTTCCTATCCACTTGAAAAGAAAAGCCCACTTATGAACCTGATACTAACTAACCGCTCGTCCCAGGCTCTCGTTGACTCAAGCTCAAGAAACCGTGCTTGGAGTCTACATCTTCCACCGCCATGGTGACCGAACCTCTAAGAGCACTCCGCCCACCTCTCTCACAGATCTCGGCTACCAACAAGTCTGGCAATCCGGAGACTTCTACCGCAACCGCTATGTCGATGCCAACGCCACCTCCCCCATCTTCGGACTGGCTTCGGATCTCGTCAAGACATCCCAATTGAGTGTTGAGGCTCCAGTCGACACCGTGCTCCAAAACTCTGCTGTGGGATTTTTGCAGGGCCTGTACCCTCCCGTTGGAGCGACTTTATCAACACAGGTTCTTGCCAATGGAACCAGCGTTGCTGCTCCGTTGAACGGGTATCAATTGATCCCGGTGAATGCTGTGGCATCGGCATCGAGTGGTGCCAATTCAGAGAATTCCGCTTGGCTCCAAGGTCAGAGTGGATGTCACAATGCAATCGTCAGTAAGTATTACCCGGATTTGTGTTGATACATCTATAACTTGATTGTGAGGTTTCGTACTAACAGGTAGAAGGCTCGAACAACTACTTCTTCTCCGACGAATACGAGGACAAGCTAAAATCCACCGAGGGCTTCTATTCCAACCTTCTCCCTGTCATCAACAGGACTTTCACTGCCGCAACGAACACTTTCAAGAACGCCTATACCGTGTTCGATCTTATCAACGTCGCCCTGATCCACAACACCAGCATCCAATCCTCGGACCTCCTCACAGCCCCCACCTTGCACCAACTCCAAACCCTAGCCGACGTCCACGAGTTCAACCTCGCCTACAACTCCTCCGAGCCCATCCGCGCCATAGCCGGCTCCACCCTCGCCGCCCAGATCGTGCAGCATCTCAACGCCACCATAACGGGCAAGTCCCAGGCCCCCATCGTCAGCCTGCAGTTCGGCGCCTACGCCTCCTTCCTCTCCTTCTTCGGCCTCGCCCAGCTGCCCGCCGCGTCCGCGAACTTCACCGGCCTCGTCGGCTACGCCTCCTCCATGGTCTTCGAGCTCGTCACCAACGCGAGCCTGTCGTCGTCGTCGTCGTCGGACGACACAACCACCACCGCGCCGTACCCGAGCGCGGACGACATCGCGGTGCGCTTCCTGTTCGCCAACGGCTCGGCGGCGGCGAACCCTTTGACGGCTTACCCGCTGTTCGGACGGGCCGAGACGCTGCTCCCGTGGTCGACGTTCGCGAGCGAGATGGCAAGGTTTGCAGTGGGCGATCTGCCGACCTGGTGCACGCAGTGCGGCAACTCGACGGGGGTGTGTGCTGCTGCTGCTGCTAACACCACTTCCGGGGGAACGCCGTCGGCTAGTCAGGGCGCTCCGGGCGAGGGAGGCATGTCGAGGGCTGTGGTGGGTGCTATTGGGGCTATGGTTACTCTCGCTGTGGTTTTTGGAATAGAGGCACTAGTTATGCTTGTTGCTGGGCTCAGAATCGTCCGCAGGGAGAGACTTGATGCCGCGTCGGCTGAGAGACTCGCTCCTGCTGTCAAGGCGTAGCTGGTGGTGGGTGAGGGGGTTCACGGACGAACGTCGCGGCCTCCATCTACTATGGGAGATACCAGAATACGACGATTGCGCATATCATGTTTGTGTCCATAATCCAAAAACGAAGACGAAGCCATCCATAATCATTTCGCAATCGGATTATTCGTTGCCCTGTTCTCATAGACAGCTCTGACTCTGCATCTCAGCCCTCTGATTCTGTATTCCAGACGGCCTCGGAACCTCCTCCCCGTACATGACCCTCTCCTCCCCCTCCTCCCTCCTGATCCTATCCCTCGCCTCCGCATTCTCCCTCTTCCACACCTCAATCCTCTTCTTCAAGTGCGCCCTGTCAAAGCCCTCCCGCCACCATTTCTCAGAGCGCGGCAGCCTTCTCCCCTCCCCATCCTCCGTCGGCTCGCCCGCCAAGCTCCTCACCTCCTCGAAATACTCCTCGAAGTGGGGGTACAGGGACGAGAAGGGCACGCCGTCGCCCCTGCGCCCGATGCGCTCCCGCTCCCATGCCTGTTGTTCTTCGCGGGGCGGGAACGCGATGCGGCCGGCGAGGAATCGCGCTGCGAGCACTGCCTGCCACTCAAACACTTTAGACGTGAAGCCCGCGGCGACGGCGCCGACGAAGCAGAGGGTCGGGTCCGGCTGCCAGAAGACGTGCTGGTAGAGGTTCGGGAGCCGGTTGTTGCAGATCGTGGAGGCGAGGTTGGGGAGGAAGTGGAGGAAGTGGAGCGTCCAGGTGTAGGTATCTGCGCTCGGTTAATTGATTGATGTAGAGATAGGCGAGGTAGGGTGTTGACTTACCCAGTGGCGAAAACGATGTGGTCTACGTCTGTCAGATGCGTGCCGTCTTCGAAGGAGACTGTGCGTTGGTTCGTTTCGCGGCTGGAGGTGATGTGCGTGATGGGTGGTCGACGCCGGATGTTGGGGTGCTGGAAGGCGTAGTCAGAGATATAGGGGTGGTCTAAAGGGATCGGATCGTAAGCTGCTTTGTTCTTTCCATGATATGTATATACATACTCGGACACACGACTTGACTTACACTTCCCCCGCACAACGCAGTTGAGAGGCACCTCGGCGAGATCCGCTATCGCGTGCGATATGTCGGGTCCAGAGATGCTCGCTCCCACGACGACCGTTCTCTCGCCCAGATACTTCTCCGGCTCTCTCCACGCTTTGCTGTGCTCCACCACTCCAGGGAAGTCTCGAGCGAGTTCGGCTAAGCCGGGGATGTGCGGAATGTATGGCACCGTATAGGGGCAACCACAACGGCTTCGAACGACTCGGTCCACCATTCATCCTCTCTTCCGTTCTCGAGAGGTTGTCCGAGGGAGGGTGAGTGTCCACTTCCCGGATACCTCGTCCTTATGGACCAGCTCTACAGTCGTGTTGTATGTAACTCAATCTTGGTATCCGTTCCTATTCATGAGACCCTGGAGATAGATAGCCTTCGACAGTCTTCCCATGACGGAACGGAGAATCAACCCCATGTCTTTTGATACTCAACGCGGACCTCTCCTCGGGAAACGGCTCTTGAGAAAATGAACATGGCAAACGCATCTATATTCGTCTCTAGCGTAGGATATATCGACGTCTCTGCAAAGCGATATTGGGTATTGTGCGGAGTCACAGTCGGGAGCTTCGGTGGGATGGGATGGGAAGAGTCTCATCTGGGGTACGGTTCGCTATCTTCTCGAGGTCGGGGTACTGTTGCACATGGTCCACTGGGTCCGATATTCTGTATTGCTATTCAGAGGTGTGGTTCGGTCCTCGGGAAGGGCGACTTACCAACAACCTTCAGCCTTTCCCCTCCTCTCGAAGACCCGTATAGTGTCGAATGCTTTTTCCTGAGCAAGAGCATCAACTGTGATAGCGCCAGCTGGACCAGCGCCGACGACAGCAACGGACTTGATCGGAGCCATTGTTGCAGGAGAAAAGTATATATCAGGAAGAAAAAAAAAACGTTGAAAAGGGAAGTAAAATATTCGGCAGAAGCCCGATTCACTCAAGTCGTGCTTCCGGAATACACAGCGGTACACTGGTAGCTAGCTACCTTGGAACACGATCACATCGGGTATATCACGCATGCTGAAGTTCACGTACAAAAAGAATGCAGCTGAGAATACCTCTATCCGTAGACGATGCCCCCGCCACGATTCACCATAGCTTGAGTGGATGGTGCAATACCGGTACTTGTAGATTGGCCTTCATCCGCTAGAGCAAGCTCAATCTTTCCGCAGATTTGAAGATCTATAACAAGAGATGAAGCAAGTAGAGGCAATCGGCCGCATTGTCTAACGACGAGATACGTATCTAAAGAATGCACAAGGTGATTGAGTGCGCGTTTCGAGTTTGCTGTGGGAGATATGTCGGACGTTGGAATATTTGGTCCGATATGTAGAGCAAACTTGCTCAGGGCCGAGGTTTTGAGATGCTAGAAAGGGAAATACCGGTAGCGGGGCCCTTTCTATGGTCCTCTAGCCCTCTTTTACAAGAGACGGTTATTGGACCGTCTAAAATCAGCACTGAATTATATTCACGTACCGTATATTTTACCGAAAAGACAGTCTTACTATTGAAAAAGACCGTGTCGTGGCCTTCCTACAGAGCGGAGGTACAGGCCTTAAGGCTTATCTCACTGCCTTTAATAGGACGTAGGAGATACAACTAGGTGTACCCGGCCCAAGACGGTGAGGCATCGACCGTATTCGCTGTAGCGCGAGTTTGTTATTACTATTATACGATGATGATTGCCGTCGCCGTTCTACTACTACTGTAGGTATACGAGCTCATGGAAAGCATTCCCAAGATTTCTATTCTCAGGCTCGTTGGATTATTGCCAAGCGGCCAATAAATCCTTGATAAAAAAACATCTTATTCCCCGAAGTATATTCGCAGACGCTTCGATCTTGACGAATATGACGATATATTCTGTATCGAATATATATGGATCAGCAAGGCACAGACTCGTGAGATATCAAGAGTTCTCCACCTCTCTTAGCTGTCAAGCGTACGCCAAGGTGGTTTACGCTACTACTGTATTTGATTAAGATAACTCAATACGATAACTCGGTCTCCGAAATCCCTTTGCACGATTTACGTAGCACAGTACGTAGTCATTGGGTTAACGAAGAGTGGAGATAACAAGGGGTTTTTTTTCTTTTATTTTTGCAAAATTGCGTAACCTCGGCTCCGAAATCCTTCTAACATCCTGCTCTATAAATAGATGCTAAACTCAGATTACCCTTATGCAGCGTAAATCGTAGAGCGGTGGCACATCTCAAAGCCCGATCACCTAGCATAAAGTTACTTTTCAAAGCTTAATATTTATAGTATTAAGTTGCTCGGCGTCAGCCTTAATAAGAGGCCTTTAGAGAATTATACTTTCTATCTGTGTTTACTACGTACTGTAAGAGGAGGTGATAGTAAGAAGGCCGGAAACTGCGGAGTAACGTTGAGTCCGGCTTTTGCTACGCACCACGATACAGGCCTAAGTATTACCGTACCCCTCGAGGGTGTCTCAGAATTTTAGTTCCTACGATGAATCCCCTGGTTACCCTAGCCTCAAGCGGTAATACTTACGCCTGGGACGTAGTACAACATTGCCTTCTAGAAAAGTCCAAACCATCTGTACGAGGGTACAGCGGTTAAATGTTATACCGTCCCCGCTCCTACTTCGTACGTAAACACGTGTGGAAAGTATAATTCTATTCTCAAGGGCTCTTATCAAGACTTAAACCAATCAACTTGGTAGTATACAGTCTACCCCCCTCCATGGATAAATGGCATAATTTTGCAAGGGCTCTTACCAGGGCTTGAACCAGTAAACTTTTAGCGATTTAGCCTTGGAAAGTTACGTAGTACTTGCGCCTGTACCGTGGTAATTATGCTTTCCATGTAGACAAGATGTTTTACGAAGTATAGTACGATCGGCTGCGGGAAGCTACTGTATCGATGATGGGTAGGAAACTAGGGAGAAGATGAGTTTAAAGCGCTGACTGAAAGCATGCCCGCTCGCTATCAAGCTGTGATTGATGCGGAAAGTAGGTTTACTAAATATAAACAACTACTCGCCCCCGACTTTGCGTACCATCTCGTGTTTATACCGCTAATAGGACTGCCCAATTACAACGTACAACGTGTAATAGTAGTCAGTTGAGAAAAGTGGTTGCGGGGGTAACCAAGGTTATAACGCCTGAGCGCTGTACCTTCATACGTAGTACGTAATACTTGATTATACTACCGGCACGTACGTAGTACGTAGTACGTAGTACATAGTAGTACGTAGCACACAAGTAACAAGCAAATATGAAGTTTCATTCTGTTACTGTCCCGCCTCCTGAATGAATACTTGCTTCAAGATACTTTGTAAAGCTGGATCGTTACTATTTGATTGGTTTCAAGCCCTGGCAAAAGCGCTTGCAAAATTATACTACGTACTGCTAACTTTTGACAATGATTCATACGGAGGGGGGGCAAGGCTGCGAGCCCTTTTTCTGGAAGTGCTTACTTTGGCTTAGGAATAGATAAATAGAAAGAAAGATGTCGTAGATGCTTTACCAAATTTAATCACTTCACTTCACGTCAATCTCGCAACTTACGTCTTCATTCAAATCCTCGTTATTCATCACATCTCAAGCCTTTCAAGATGCGATTCTCTTACATTGCTCTCCTCGCTATGATTAGCGTCGTTTCTGCTATCCCGTTTATCTCACCTCCTAAGATATGCATTTCAGACGATCCCCGGGATTGCGCCAAACCAATCGGTCCACTTTCAGATAGCAAATAATTACGCTTAGATCAGTCAGTCCACTCCCAGATAGGGAATAATTACGCTCAAATCACGCTAATACTACGTAAATATTCATAGTGCGTCGGCAGTCCTCCCTGCACTGCTGCCTCGTGTTTGTGCCGTCCGTCGTAGATTTGTAAAGCTGGATCGTTACAATTTGATTGGTTCAAGCCCCGGTAAAAGCTCTTGCAAAATTATACTTTCGACAAGGATTCATACGGAGGTGGGGCAAGGCTGCGAGACCCTTTTCTGGAAGTGCTTTGGCCTGGAAATAGATAAATAGAGAGAAAGATCCCCCAAATGCTTCACCAAATCTACTCACCTCTCTTCAAGTCAATCCCACAATTTACATCTTCATTCATATCCTCGTATTCATCACATCTAAAGCTTTTCAAGATGCGATTCTCTCATATTGCTCTCCTCGCTATGATTAGCGTCGTCTCTGCTATTCCGGTTATGCCATCTCCTGTGCCATGCAGTTCAGATGTTCGAGGAAATCCTCTCGATTGCGAGAGAAAAGTCAGTCCACTTTCAGATAGGCAATATTTACGTTAAATTCACGCTAATAAATATCAATAGTGTAACGGCGATCCTGGATGCATTGGTCCCATTTGACTGTCCTAGTACATCTCATCATCGCCTTCGCATACTTTTATCCGTTCGCACGATTCGAAAAATCGAACAGAATGGCATCAGATGATTCATATGCACTTTCGGATAGAATATCAAGCAATTAAATTTTTCAAAAAAACGATTGAACTTTTGCGGGGTCAACTGTTAGATGTTGTTTGATATATCGTTATGCGAACAATAGCGAAAATAAAAGCCATTTCTATCATCTACTGAATATCTAAGGAAAATTGGTCACATCTTTTGTATAAGCTGATAAATCAAAACATTCCTCTCGCTTGAAGTGCTATAAAGGGAGTAGAGGGTCATGTCGCGGTTCATTGTTTTATAAGAAACGGTTACTAAACCGTCTAAAGTCAATATTCAAACTTGATCTGGAGATTATCACGGCTATCAAAGGTAGTGTTGTAGTACTATCTAGGAGTATGCTCAGTACTGAGAACGAATGATGAAGAAGAAAAGAGAGAACTAGGTACAGGAGAATAGGTCTTATGGGCTGGCCTGCCAGGACGGGGACTAGAGATCACGAGGTAACGTGTAACCCATACACGTGTCCAAGGCCTCGTAACCTGCCTTACGGAATACTGGCCGCCACTATCGTCACAGAGATAGTTTATCGAATAAACCGTCCTATTGAAAGAGACAGTTTCGTGGCCGTCCTATGGCCGCCCTTATTTAGATTTTTAAACCGCGCACATAGAATTTTTTTTTCCGTAATATTTGTTCAAGCATAATTTAATATACCCGTAATAAGATGTTTCTTGGTACCGCTGCTGATCGCCGGTTACCTTAAATTTAATCCGAAAAAGACGATCGACTGGCCGTAGCAAGTCGGCACCACCGAGGATACTGTCATTAGGAATGTGTATGGTTCACAATTGCACGTCCGTGCAGCTAGGCCCGTTGAGTTGATCCTAATCAAGATCGACTCAACTTGGTAGTAGAAGTTGCACGTTCCAAGGTTTGTATAGCTCGCAACTAGCAAATTGAATAGCAATGTGCAATTTAAGAATTAGGAAATAAGGTCAACTCGTTCTTATAACTACTAAATTTTTTTCCTAATAAACTTAAGATCAACAACGCTACCTTATCATGTCGGTCCCTTCAAACTCGAGGTTTCTTCATCACGGAGGCTCCTCTTCTCTTTCCTAAGTCCAAGCCTGCAAATATATATATATATATATTTAATAAACGTATTACACGAAAAAAAAGGCGCGCGCTATTGATGATACCCCTACCCCTTCGGCTTCTACAGCCCCCTTAGCTTCTAACGTAGATATCGATACATTGCAAAAAGGTAGCGTTGTGAAAAGATAAATAGGTAGTCAGAATAAGCGGAAAGTCTTAGAGGATGTAAGGAGGCCCACCTAAGCGAGCCGATGATTATACTTGTAATGTACCTACCTAGGTAGGTACCTATTTTGCTTGAAGTCCGATTTTCGTGTTCCTCGCTTCTTCAGCACGGCAATCCCAATCCACATACATAATCAAACAGTGATGCTTCGTAAAATCAATAATCATCGTAACCTACCCATCGTACCTTTTTTTCCGCTCCTTGGCTCATATCAACGTCCTCTTCAAGCTTCAAATCGCTATCATCTAATGCTGCCGAATCATCATCGCCTCCCTCTTCATCGTCTCTGAAGTCGATTTCATATGGCCGTTCGAAGAGCCTCAGCGCTTAGCTTCCGAGCTCCAGGGAAGGCGCCGATCTCTTGACGCCGGGAAAAGCGATGGTAACGATTTTAACGAGTTTTGCCCAGTCGAGGACGCCAAGACCTGTGCATTCGGTATCTGTGTGCACGAGAACTAACTAGTTAGGCAAGGGCTACCGCGAGGCCGGATGGGTTATCAATATGATCCAATATGAAGATGAAGATATATTGTTAACACAGCGATCCTTTCGCGATTGCTTTTATTTCCAAGGTTTTTTTTCCCAAGTGCCATACCGGTATACGCTCGGGCTCTTCTTCTTCTTTCGCCTTCTCCGCCTTTGGATTGTTTTCCCTTCGAGCTGCTATGTACCGGTACAGTCTCCCTCTTCCTCCTTCGCGAATTCGAGCTTTCCACTTAGCACGAACAGGCCAGGCTTATGCTCCTTTGCAAACCGCGTTATCACATCTTCGAATAGATCTTGCGCGTCTTTGAAATAGATGTTTGACACAGGCCGAGATTCGGATTACTTTCGAAAGGATGGCTCGGCAACTGGAATGGGTGAGGAAATCATATTGGGCGGCGAGGAGGTAAATCTGGAAATAGCTTTAGATTGGCGTATTTGGGCGACGGTGAGGTTTTGGGGGGGGGGGGACGGTAAATGACGATGAGTTGGATTTAAAGGCTCAACGCTTTTAAACAAAACGGGAGCTGTTTTTGAATATTCGAGCGAAATCGTTGATTGGAAGAGGTGGGATATTAATGGAGATCCTGGATCATCGGGCACTATTGTTTTTCCTGATTCTCCTGAGTAACTAACATAATCAGAAGGGGTGGTCTTCGGTCTTTTGATTTTTCCGACTAACGACCAAGTTTGACTCCGAATAGAATCGGGAGTGAAGACGTGTCAGAATCAAATCCTAGGACCTAGGACGAAACGTATGTAACTCCACTCCTCTTCTGACAAACTCGGCTATCTATCATTCCAAGTCGATTTTCTGTGCCTCTTTGCTGTGGTTTCTTTACCGCTTTCCCACAAAACAGATTCGCATCCCGGTACTCAGCAAGTATTCCCAGACTCGTCACTCTCATCATCTATCTCACTGATCCGTCTCCGAGCCGCCTCCCTCTCACTCAAGTTACGCAAGTCGCCAGTGATAACATGGCACTCATCCCAAGCTCCTTCGTCGCCCAGCCACTGTGGCAAAGTCAGTATCTCCCTCTCTCAGAATCAGAGATTGGGGTGTAATATCGAGACGCCTCATGCAACCCGGGCACTGTGCTTGGAGCCCTGGGAAAGCCAGACAGGAGACCTACCTGACAAAGCTTCTTCGCCGCCCACCCAACCTTCAAACCACAGTCGCCACTCGGCTCATTCCCACCATCGCCGTCTCCGTCCCCACTACCGTCCCCGTTGCTGTCTAGCCCCCGCACGACGACCTCGCTCCACGAATACAAATCCCGCATCACCCGTACAGCATCGGCCTCCGCCTTATGCGGCGCCATCTCATCACCCCTGGCTTTGCGCCAGGTATGCGTACAGATCGTCGAGATATTGTCCATCAGCGTAGCTGGCCGGGCATTGGACGGTCCAGCGTTAGAACGCCGGCCCCCAAGAGGCGAGTACGGATGGTAGCGAGCTTTTGCACGACGGTGATGGCTGTGTCTGTGGTAAGATGTTGGGAGCAGAGTGCTAACGTGGGACGCGGTGGCGTCCATGCAGATTCCGTAGAGAGCGTTGAGCAGAATGCCGCGCTCTTCTGTAATGTTGATAAAGGGCGGTCGAATGGTGCTGTCTGAGCTTATGAGGCTAGCTGAGCGGGAGGAGGAGGTTGCCGAGGTTGTCATCGGATGCTTGATATCGCGAGAGCCGCTGCTGTCCACTGAGGGTTGGTTCGCAGGCTCATCCTGATAAGGCCATCGATGTGGGGGCGATGGAGGCCGGTTCAGAAGATCGTTGATTGGCACTCGAGCAAATGAATGAGCTACTTTGAACTCTTCAGTTGCAAGTGAAACCGGCACTTGGCTTTTGCACATTCTTTCATCCCCAATGCAAGAGCAGACGTGTGGTTTAGAGCTGTAATTCACAGCTGGAGTTGGGTTTTGCTGACTTGCTCTCCGCGATGGACCCGGAGTGGTCATTTCTCTATCCTCTGGCGTGACACATCTTGCCCGATACACGTTTGAAGGCTGAAGGTTGCTAGATGGATTCCCAACTGGTAGGACAGTAGGGAGAGTGTTAGATGGACGGGGGAAGAGGTGTATCGGAGGAAGGCGATCGTGCCGTCCCATACCGTCAGATGGAGCAATGAGGGGTCCGGAGTTGAGACCGTGACGAAGACCAGCAAGTCTGCTGTGGCTTGCATTCGCAGGGGGTGGTAGAAGTGCGTCTCTTCTGCTTTGATCTAGATGATCTCTCTTCATCCTGTAAATGGCCGCGTATGCGGAGACCGTGGGCAGTACAGGATGTTGATGATTTGGGAAAAGAAGCTCCAGGAAAATATAGAGGGCCATATTATAAGTGAATACGACTCAAAGAATGAACCTAGACCTGCTAGATCGTGATAGAAATTTTGCCTGAAAGATGAAACTCACGTCACGAATTGGAAGTCTGCGGTCATCGCAGAAGGCACTGTGCAAGCACAATGAACGAGACATGAAACACTTCCATAATTTCATTGACTAAGTTCTAAGCGTTCCAGATTACTATTCTTCCATCAACACCACTCGCTAGAAAGTGTTAGCATGCTTCCAGATACCAGTATACCAAAGGCACTTACTGCTGAACTTCCGAACAGCGCCACCGGATTCTTCATAGACACGGATGGTGCTGATCGTATTCTGATGAACCGTCTTCAACTTAGTATCATCTGTAGTCTTTCCTTTCAAGTCCATTTGCTTGAACATGTTGAAAGCTGATTCCTCCCGCGTATCACCAAGTCCCGGTCTTCCCTTCGATTCCAAGGACCCGGTTAATTGCCAACCACCCTCGTTACCCTTGAGGCGGTAGGCCTCACAGTCGTAACCTGCAGCGATGATCTCGCTCTCGCCGTTCCAGATGAGACTCATGAAAGGCAGAAGTTGTGTGCTTACGCTCACGACTGCTCTAGGAGGCTGATCTGCACCGTTCGGGTAGACAACAGTGATGCTGCTATCGTGGGCCGCGAAAGCAAGAGCATTTCCACTAGGCGAAAATGAGACAGCATGAACCCATCCAGCAGAGTTATTCAGGTATTCTCCGCAAACAGTATTGAATGGCAGTCTTTCACCCCAAACTCCTGGCTCTGGTCTGGCATCCACGCCCTTGATAAAGCTGGAGAATACTCTTGCGTGAGCATCAGTTGACCCAGCTGCCAGGAGCACAGAGTTTGGATGCCATGCCACGGTTGTGATAGTGCTGCGGATAGGCTTCTTGATATGCTTGGATACCCACCAATCGTTCTCCTCTTCGAAGTAGCATATGGCGATAACTCTTGCACCGGATCCCACGGCAAACTTGGTTTCGGAGGGAGACCACCGAACGAATGTAGCAGCACGGTTGATGCGGAGAAGAACGAGGGTGGGCTTGTAGCCAGTTGGTGAGGGCTCCCAGACTAAGGCATTTCGGTCTTTGCTGAAGTCAGTATTATGGGTGCTCGAGTGTGTGGGGTGAAGAGAGCAGACCTTGCGAGCAAGTGACGATCCTGCCACTGTCTAACGCAATATCCACGCTGGTCACAGTCTTATCGTGACCCTTCAACTCATCTTTCAGCTTGAAACCAGCACCTGTACGTCCATACAGTTCAACGCTGGTGTCTCGTGCTACAGCAAGTGTTTGCTTGTCGGCGGAGAAGGAATGATCTGCGATCGGGTGGTGGAACAGCTGGTGGACTTCTGGGGCAGCCATTATGAGGTTTTTTGAGTTTTGGTAGGAGGAGCTCTCTACTACCAATGCTGTTGGTGTTGTTGTTGTCGTTGGCGGTGATCCAAGGTCTGGATGATGAGGCCGGGGTCGAGACGTCAGGTGGTGGGGTTGATTTGGTCTCAAAAGCAGCAGCCGCGCTAGTACAGTACCGCAAACCTTAATTCGGGATATCAAGACAAGTATTTACTCTACTGCTTCAAATCCACCGAGAGCTATCTCTGGTGCATCGCTACTAGAAACGATCGGTAGATCTGAAGTAGCAAAATTCATTCCACATGTCGCACGTTGTAAGTGCAGGTATCCCAACTTCTGCTCCAGAGATGTTGACCTTGAGCTCTAGGAAGGAAAGGCCCCAGGGCAATCTACCGCCGTGCGCAAGGCAATTGGCAACATCCCGTCATACGCCCCGAACCAATCCCTTTATGTCACCAATCTCCCCTCCTCGAAAATCCAAAAGTCGGACCTGCGCATCTCCCTTTACATGCTCTTCTCTACGTACGGTCCTGTCCTCGATGTGGTAGCTCTGAAGACCATGAAGATGCGTGGCCAGGCGCATGTTGTCTACCGAGATGTACAGACTGCGACTCAGGCTATGAGGGCTTTGCAAGGGTTCGAGCTGTTCGGAAGACAAATGGTACGTTGCCATCAAATTTTTTAGAGAAGAATAAACGTAGCTAACAGCCTTCCCAGCAAATCCAATACGCCAAGTCGAAGTCAGATGTCATTGCAAAGTTGGATGGTACATTTCGTATGCCTTCTGCGGCTGCAGGAGAGGTCACTTCTACAGAACTACAAAGAAGCGTATTTGATGGTCCGCCAGCTGGTTCGAGCGCACCAGTCACCGGAGGAGCTTTGAAGCCACCACCGGCTGCTCAAGGTGTGGATCAAACAATGGAGGATGCTAGAAGCCCGACGACAAGTGTGGCTGGCCAAAAGAGAAGACGGGATGAGGACAGCGAGCCAGAGGAAGACAGTGACGGGGATGTCGCTATGGACGAGGACAGTGGCGATGACGACTAGACGAAATTACATTATTTTTGAGGCGTTCGGAGCTGGGGAGGGAATGGCCTGGCAACCGCCATCTGGCCCAAAAGTTGCACATACCGAGGTTAGAAGAAATTCGATCCACATTCAAACGTGATTTGCGGCTCTTGGTATACTTCTTGTGACAATATCCTGTCATTGTGCTGACGATCGCAGAGTTCAATATTAATGTAGACTCAGTCAGAGTCTCCAATTTGCGCCATCTCAGGAGGTACCCATAGTCCTACACATCCTCCAACCAAACCCAACCAGACCATCAGGTAATTTCGGAGAGAGCAATCGAAACTTTCCATGGCTTCTTTCGTCTGGCAAGGATGAACGAAGAAAGCGGGAATTCCTGTGATGGGGTGAGGCTGAAAAATGTCAGTATGGGTGTAATTTCAGTATCAGTATGAAGAGTAAGAGGTCAAAACTGACAGCTGCCGAAAATCCACCGGTGATCCCAGCTGCCCGGAGCCTGCTTTTGTACTCGGTAGGAACAAGATAGCGGTAGACGGAGTCTAGATCGAAAGTTGGCTCACCCATAGGTAGGGAATGTAATGTGAACCACAGCGTTGGCATACGGTAAGTGGGATGGAGGTGTATTTCATAGGTCACAAATGGCTGATCTGAATATTGGGTGTATCGAGGGGGACCCAACGGTTGCGAGAGAGCTTCCTGCGATCTGGTTCAACATAATGGATTGGATAGCCTTTCAATCGAAAACGAAAAAAGGAAACCCACATCATCCGCTTCTTCCTCTGTAGTATCCATCTTCATGTCGACATCTATTGTGAGGTCTTGCTTCTCACCGCGTTCACCACCTCCGCTAAGCCTTGCAAGAGCTAGAGACAACTCATCCGCATCGGCATCCTCAGGAGGTTGTAGCAACCGCATGATCGTGATATAAGACTCTCCTGTAGTCATGACCCGACGAAGTCGTACTCTGAAAACCTTCCTTGTACGACCTAGTGTTACTCCCATATACTTCTGTTCGAAGAAAGCATTGGCAAGCTCGAACTCCTCTGGATTGAGAAATGGCCATTGACGGTAGTCGCCGTGGTGAGTCATAGTGGCTTCGATTGAAAAAAAAAAAAAGTGCGGATTTTTGTGCTCTGCGGCTCAAGAAGAATCAAGAGGGATGGGGAAGAGGTGAAGAGGTAAAGGGTGAAGAGGTGAAGAGTGACGAAGGCGGGGCCTGGACATAGGTAACTTACTTAAGTAGTCTAAAGGCACTTACTTAGCTCTGTACTTCACCTACTAGTAAAAATATATGATGAACGGTACGACTGGCGCGTGAACTGAACGATAAAGGAAAACTATGCTGGATATAACGAGCGGAATGAGGCTGAGTTTATACCTGGGGCCGATTTGAATTGAAGCCACAATGCAAGGCTGAGGAGCTTAAGTGGGGCTAAGCGAGCTCTTACTGAGAGGTATCTTGGATCCTCCAATGGACAACGTAACGTGTGAGTACAGAGCCAAACGCAAGTCAACAAACAGGCGAGTGTGAGCCTAGGCAATTATCAACCCTTCTGGTGCAGTATTTGCGCAGTCGCTCCTTGAGAAATGGTCCAACGTTTTCGATGAACACCCGCGATCCGTTCAATCTGCATCGCTCGCCTGCACTCACCATTCTCCGAGGAACAGCTACCCAAGCTGCAGCGAACGTCTCACAACGGGTCAGGGAGGCCAGCGCCCAGGCACTGGAATCTGGCAGGCAAGCTGTCGAAGACATGTCATTTTCGATTCCCAAAAATGTCCCTCCCTTCACGGACCCACAACGGGAATTAGAGAACAGAGTTTGGGGTTCTTCAGGGGTGACCGCGAGGACAGCAGGACATTCGAACGGAGGTGTTATGAGTGGCATGCAAGACCGAATGGGAGCCCTCTTCGACAAAACCAGGGCAGATCTGCCAATGTATAAGGACAAGCCATATTCGTATGCCGCCTCCAGGAGACTGCGGCCCATGTGGAAGCAGAAACGGATACTGGGCAGCTTTGGGCTCTTTATACTGGCCATATTTTGGTTGCTGGGCTTCTTCAGTAGTGATGATGGTGAAAGTGTGAAATTGAAGGACCGTTGGAATTGGCTACAGAAATCAGAGAAGGCCGGAGCCAACGTCGACTGGATGGAGCGTCGAGAGCATGTGAAAGATGCATTCATACTAAGCTGGGATGCTTATGACCGTTACGCATGGGGTATGTGGAAGTTTTCTAAGATGGAGCGGTCCAACTCACCTCTGATCATTCACTTGATAGGCTAATCCATTCTCTTACAGGCAAGGACGAGTTTCATCCCGTCTCAAAACGAGGGCGACAGATGACCCCAAGTGGCATGGGCTGGATCATCGTAGATGCTTTGGACACACTGATGTTGATGAATCTGACAAGTAGACTGTCCCATGCACGAGAGTGGTTGTCAACGTCACTTACTTACGACCAAGATCAAGAAGTCAATACTTTTGAAACAACCATTCGGATGCTGGGAGGTCTACTCTCTGCGCATTATCTTTCAACCGAGTTCCCTGAAATGGCTCCCCTGAAAGATGATGATGAAGGTGCGAAAGGAGAAGACCTTTACCTGGAGAAAGCAACAGATCTGGCAAATCGTCTGATCGGGGCTTTTGAATCTCCCTCAGGGGTGCCATACGCGAGTGTCAACTTGAAGACCAACCAAGGCGTGGTCTCACACGACGATGGCGGAGCCTCCTCGACTGCGGAAGCGGCAACTTTGCAGCTGGAATTCAAGTACCTGTCGAAACTTACTGGGGAATCTTTCTACTGGGAAAAGGCCGAGAAGGTCATTCAGGTGATTGATGACAACGGTATGGAGGATGGATTGCTTCCAATTTACATATACGCACATGATGGTCGTTTTCGAGGAAAGAACATTCGATTGGGTAGCCGAGGTGATTCGTACTACGAGTATCTGATCAAACAATATTTACAAACCTCAAAAGAGGAGCCGATCTACGAGGAGCTTTGGAATGAATCTCTTGCGGGAGTCCGCAAGAATTTGATAACATACTCTGAAAGATCTCAGTTTACCGTTCTTGGGGAGCGACCCGATGGCTTGGAGGGCGCACTGTCTCCCAAAATGGACCACCTCGTATGCTTCATGCCTGGGACAATCGCTCTCGGCGCTACTGGTGGAATTCCGGAAAAAGAAGCCAGGAAGCTGCCTAGCTGGAACCAAAAGAAAGATGAAGACATGAGACTCGCTCGTGAGTTGATGCGCACCTGCTGGGGAATGTATAAGGTCATGGCAACTGGGCTCGCGGCAGAAATTACATACTTTAACATCCACAATCCTCCACTTCCGGAATCTGCTCCTCACAAGGCACCTCTTGAATTTGAGGATAGTGAGGATGCTGAGTGGAAGAAAGATTATGTGATCAAATCCCAAGATAGCCATAACTTGCAGCGGCCAGAAACAGTCGAGAGCTTATTCTACATGTGGCGGATCACTGGGGATAACATCTACAGAGAGTGGGGCTGGGAGATGTTCAAGTCCTTTGTGAACTACACTGCCGTGGAGGACGGTGGTGGCTTTACGAGTTTGTCTAACGCAAACATGGTCCCACCATCCACAAAGGACAACATGGAGAGCTTCTGGCTGGTCAGTACTTCCCGTCTCATTTATTAAATTCTAGTTTGGTGACTAACATAGATAGGCTGAAACACTGAAATACTTCTACCTGCTCTTCTCGTCCAATGATCTCCTCCCACTCGACAAAATAGTAATCAATACTGAAGCACACATCTTCCCACGCTTCAAACTCGGTCCATTGTTCAAGACAGGCTGGACACGGAAACCCCGAGGCCCAGACGGAAAAATCTTACCGGAACCCACGAAGGCGACGGAGCATGTCGTGGTCAGGACAGAGACGATCATGGCAGTGAAGACTCAGGCATGATCTTGAGTAGTCTTACAATGTGGTACATATGCGTAGGAGTGAAAGGGGGGTCGGCCATACTGGATTTGGCCACAATTTTATATTTAGATGTACAAAATCAAATGCCAGGCAGCAGCGGCAGCAACTTTCTCTTCCTTTCACTTAACACCACACAATCAACAATTTGATTATGGCAGGCTGCGTTGCTAGGAATGTGGCATTGGTAGATCGGATAGAACCTGTTTCTAGGGGCATATTACTTACTCCAGGGTGCTAAACTCACCATAGTGTAGCACGGCAGCACGGCCGCCCGCTGCTGAGACCGATTTGTACTCCCGTTTCTAAACTTGCTAGACCGTCCTCATCTAAGGTGGTTGAGGCGTTATCAAACTGCAAGAGCCAAGAAATTCTACCGATCCGGCCAACGATACAAAGACGAATGAGATTCAAAAGCGTTATTGTATCTCTAATCCTGGTGATGCCTGCACCCTTCGCCACGGAAATCCCCTTGTGTTCATGTTACAGCGTAAACAACGAGCTGAATACCGCACACGTTTCACCTGCCGACTCTCGACTTGCTGAACAAAGTTTCCCCTCAGTCTCCACTTGAAGCTTTGGACCTTAGGGTCTGCGAACCGCTAGATGGATGTACAGCAAGTCTGATTGAAGAAAATAATGCCCGGGCAGCGATTCATATTATACGAAAGTGACCATCAATACCCCCCAGCCCAAGCTCCATCTCTCTCGTTCAGTTCTTTCGCTCTTCTAGGTAACGAGAAAAGAACGTCTTGATTGAAAAGATCCCGTTTCAATGGTGGAGGTTTGTTGCCAACCTTAGCTTATAGCTGCGATTGTGGAACCGATAGCATAGGGAGATATGGGCTGAATATATTTCTTGATAGCATAACGATAGCAGCACAGACTCATATCAACGCAGTTCAGAGTCCGTGGACGACAGAATCGTCCCGCGGATGCCCGATTTGGCAGCTTTGTTTAACTATTTAAAAGAATCAAATAAATGAGCCTTGTCTTGTTATATGTTCAATTCTTAGTAAACACAATGCAGTTTACGTATAGTAGAATCTTTCCCTTATACGAAGTGTCTTGTTTGTTATTTAACCATCTGCTTTAGCATATTAGAACGCGAACGTTATGCCAAGTCATGTGATCATTCGGGTTGCCGATGGCGTACACAGTGCGGCCTTAGAGCTAAGCAACACCACACTGTCGAGCTTACCCTTCAAAGAGGCGCGGTTTCGTTTTTCACAAATTCACCACGGCACAAACCACTTGTTACAGGTTTATTTTCGTGACTACCTGCGACCTACAATATTTCTCCTCGAAAACATCGATCAGTCAGTCGCGCTGACGCTTTTCTACTAGCATTTTACCCCGCCATCAGGGCTTCGATACAGCTTCTACGCCTTGCCTTCGATCTGCCTTCTTCAACCCCATATCTTCATAGCCTTTACGGCAGCCTTGAGACTTCTCACCCGATATCATGGACGAAGCTATCGAGTTCTTTACTACAATCTCTGGTGCTGGCCCAGATGTCGCGCGGCGATATCTAGCGTTGACGGACAACAACCCCGAGCAAGCTATTCAGCTCTTCTTCGACTCTCCGGACCTTGCAACCGGTGCTGAACAGGCATTCCAACCGCCACCACCGCCAGTACCTAGCTCTACAAGACCTCAAGCACAAGCCGCAGGCGATGGCACATCAAGTGCGAGTAAGGCCATCCCCACGGACACGGACGACGAGGACCTTATGGATGTGGACTCTGATGATGGCGGCTACGACGATGTCCGAGCTTTAGCTGCAAGCAGAGCAGCAGCAGTGGAAGACGATGCGGCTATGGCCAGAAGAATTCAGGAGGAGATGTATGCTGGTGGTGATGCTAGTGGGGGCTATGACGCGGATGGAGTCAGAGCACCTATTGGACGAACAACAGAGACTCTTGTAGGAGGACCAGGTCGTAACTTCAACGGTGTTGATGACCATCCGGCGATGTTGCAACATATGAGATCAGCGCAAGGCAGAGCCTGTATGTGTTTTATTTTTCGGTTTCTTAACCCGGTACTAATGATCGTACAGCTCGGCTCGGAATTTTTAACCAATTACCTGTTCCTTCGATTTGGGAATCTGAAAATCCCGATGTGCGTCGCGAAGGTCTTGCCCAGGCCACTGGTGGTGTCTCCGAATCTTCGTCCAAGAACGCCCGCCTCGCACAACTGTTCCGACCTCCGTTCGAGCTGATGCTCCAGGTACCTTTCGACGTTGCGAAGGATAAAGGAAAGAAGAACGAGAAGTGGATTCTGGTCAACGTGCAGGACCCTTCATTCTTTGACTGCCAGCAGCTTAACCGGGATATCTGGAAGCACGATGGGATCAAGGAGCTGGTTAAGGAGAACTTTATTTTTGTTCAATACTCCAAGGACGACCCCCGAGGCGCACAGTATGTCCAATATTACTTCCCCCTGAGGGATAGTGACTCTGCATATCCCCATATCGCCATCGTGGATCCCAGAACAGGAGAGCAAGTCAAGGTTTGGTCGGGACCACCAGTACCCAAAGCTGGAGATTTTCTTATGCAATTGGTTGAGTTCCTTGATCGGTACAGCTTGGACCATACCAAGAAGAACCCGGTGGCAAAGCGGAAGCCTGAGAAATCTAAGTCTGTGGATGTGGATCGCCTTACGGAGGAGGAGATGCTGGACTTGGCCCTACAGAATAGCTTAGCGAGCAACGGCGTACCCGGACCCAAGCCAGATGACCCAGATGACCTAACGAAGAGCTTCACCGATGGAGGAAAGGGGAAGGGAAAGGAAGTCGAGCAGGTACCATCAGAAGAGGGACCCGTCGCTTCGTCACTCAACTCCCCATTCTTCCAGATATCTTCGAGCAACCCTCATGTAGAACCTGCTCCTGGAGCTGGCGTGGTCCGCATCCAATTTAGGCACTCCAACGGCCGCGTCGTACGGCGGTTCAGATCTGACGACGTGGTTCGGAGCATCTACGAGTGGCTCAAGGCAGATCCCCTGGAAGGGAAGGTTGGGATTCAGTTCGATCTGAAGACTATGGGGAAGGACTTGATCGAGCATTTAGAAGAAACGATTCAAGATGCTGGGCTCAGCAACGGTACGGTGATGGTGGAATTCTTGGAGGATTAAGTCTCTCCTTCCCAGAGTTCATTCCAAGGCACATTACGGCGTTCACGACATAATGAAAATACATCTGTTTCATTTCGGCATTCATACTTGGGTTGGGGGACTGATTCTTGCGGTGATGGCTGGCGTTGTTACCCCTTTCCTCTCGTGCCTCGCTTGGCTTTACGTAGAAGGGGACGGAGGGATTAGGCTTATATGAATCAATGAATGAGCGAGCATGTAATTAAGAACAATGATTCTATCAACTTTCTTGACATAATGATATGCTGTGTATGAAGTTCCGGGCCCTGATACAAAATTTAGTGACGTCTGGTCTGCCTTGATGTGTGATTAGTGGACCGTCGCTTGGACCATATGTTTTCGCGATCCTTTAAATCAACAAGCAACGATTGGCTTCAAGAGACCCGTGAGCAACACCTGTGACAAAACGATAAAAGCAATTGAAAAATTCGTAGGGGCGTGCATGTTTGTTAGCAAGTAGATCAGATCTCCCCGCCTTTTTCAATGCTCGCCAACACTTCTCTTTACGAATAATCCTTGTTTTTCTCGGGAACCACAAAAGCTATTAAATTCCGCGGCTAGTCATCGTGAGTTCCTCAGATGTACTGAAATAACCGAACGAACGAACATTGGACTGGATTCCATTCCTGGCTGGTACAATTAGGCGACGCGCTAGAGTTAGGATTTGACATCTTGATAAGTAAGATGGGCGAATAAAGAGAGAGCTGCCGGGTGAGTGAGCGCCCTAATATGCGATGGCAGTACGGACTGGTTAGGGCCCTAGGTAGTAAGCGCCCATCAGACGATGAAGCGGATGTATGATATACTGTAAAGAGATGTGAATGAAAGAAATTGGAAGTTGGAGCGTAGGTAAGGTGGGAGGTGAGTTGAACTGTATAGAGAGAGAAAACAGGAGACAAGAGACATGATCCGAGGAGAGTAAAAGGCGATTGGAGGTGGTCTGACTGCGCGGAAAAGATGTTCCGACTTAGCAAGGCGTGAGATTGAGAAAGAATGCACGCAGCTCTTGCTCAAAATAGGTATGGCCTTCTCTGCCATTTTTGCCGCGAGTACATCGTGCATGTCTGCAGCCCAGTATGGGGACACCATGCGGGTATAATCGTCGATCGATGTGTGGTCGGAATTCGTCGGGTGGTGAATTCAAAGATCGGCTGCAACGTGTGCCCGGAACATACTTTGTAACCCTGAGTAAGGGCCGCTGGAGTGCTTCAAAAGTACCAGAAGCTTCCGATATCCCATCCTCGCTTAATGATACCGGTAACATACGTACGTAGAGTGACTATCTAGGAATAGCAGGGAGCTTCTTCTCTTCTTCAGAAAACACGGGAATAAACTCTCGATATACGCGCTCGAATGCGTCCCGCTTGTCTGTGTCCCGCTCGTATATTAAAGAAAGGCCGTGTTAAAGAAAGGGCTCGAAGTTGCTTATGAGAATAAGGACTGTGTTGAGCAAGAGTGTACGAAAGGTATATCAGTACTTAGATCATCAAGCCCATAAGCTGTATGACATCGAAAAGAAGGGGGTGATGAAGAGGAGGAAGCTCGATGAATCAGGGCTCGATCTGGCAAAAGGCAATAGGAGGATATGGCCTCGGTCACAAGAAAAGCATTTGGAGGACAAGTAGGTAAACATTTGAACGATACTTGATAAAAGCAAGCGGGTTGGATAGAGCAGAGAGAGTATCGATTTTTTTTTAGACTGAAAGGCTAGCGTGAATATCAAAAACGAGATAATGAGCATGACCTGATCAAGTGCAAGGAAATCTGTATCTGAATGGGTCACAAACAAATAGCGCTGTAACGGAAATTAGCGACTAGCTGGCGCAGATTAGGCTACACCGGGACACGAAGGTTCTTATTAAAGAAAGGGTAGGGGGGGACGTCGATGGTAGCATATGACAATCGGAGATTGCAAGCGAGTCGGAAAATGTTTACGTTAAATATAGATAAAAATAGAGACAACTAAGTCAATATAAACGTCGATGTAAAACAATAACATTCGCTCATGCAAGCGAGGACTATAGCTTCGTAGCGATCACGAGCGGCGTCTCACATAAGCATAAGCTTTACATAAGCATAAGTTTTAGCGGTACTTACTTACTCCGTAGTGTCGCGGTTGTCGAAGCCGCGCTGGCTATTGGTTGTTCTTGATCCGGCCCAGCGCTACATGATACTTTGTTTACACTCGGACAAATACAAACACTCTCTAGAAATACATTCACCTCTCATTAATTCAATTCCCTTTCCGTGTTCGCTTACAATTCGCTATTTCTCAACCTCGAGTCGCGCTTGACGTCGAACCCCAGCATCACCACGTTAACGACCAACTCCTCGCCTTCCCTCCTCCCCGCGCATACAACAAGACTCCTTGCCAGAGACCGGGCCAATTGCGCATTTTCTTGTCTTCTCGCCCACGCCTGTACCTGCCTTTACAGACCCGAGAACTTTACGCAGCATCCTGGTCAATAAGTCGAGGAATAAGCCAGCTGCGCCAGCTCCGCAACAACGCACCAGCATTCCCTCCGCCCTCCTCCGGGGGAAGAGAACATCTCCTCACCATGGCAAGCGGAGGCGCTATGATGGGTGGCGTAGTAGATCCAGAGACTCTGTATACGAAGCAGAACTGCATAGGTAAACTCCTCGGGATATTGGGAGAGACAATTGCTGACTGGGTGTAGGTGGTGGCAGCTTTGGGAAAGTCTATAAAGGGTGTGTAGCTTCTTATGTGCTTCCTGGGCTTGGGACAATGGCTAATGCTGCGCTGTTAGGTTTGATAAAAGGACTGGCCAGGCAGTTGCTATCAAAGTCATCGATGTCGAAAATGCGGACGATGAAGTGGAGGATATCATACAGGAGATCTCGATTCTGTCTGAACTCCACTCGCCCTACGTGACCCAGTACTACGGATCATATCTCAGAGGATCGGACTTATGGATAGTCATGGAGTTTTGCTCGGGGGGCAGCTGTGGGGATCTGATGAAGCCAGGTCTGATCGGAGAGGACTACATTTCGATTATCATACGGGAACTGCTGCTTGGTTTGGAATATCTGCACGGAGATAACAAGCTCCACAGAGATGTCAAGGGTAAATTAGAACAGGTGTACTACATATGAGGCTAAAAGCTGACCTTCAAACAGCTGCCAACGTGCTACTCGGGTCCAATGGACAGGTCAAATTAGCAGATTTTGGTGTATCTGGACAGCTCTCGGCAACCATGACCAAGAAGAATACTTTCGTCGGAACACCCTTCTGGATGGCCCCGGAAGTCATCAAGCAATCCGGCTACGATCATAAAGCAGATATATGGTCCTTGGGAATTACTGCTCTGGAACTGGCGAACGGCGAACCTCCTTATTCGGATATCCATCCTATGAAAGTTCTATTCTTGATTCCCAAGAACCCACCACCTGAGCTGGAGGGCAACTTTTCGAAAGCATTCAAAGAGTTTGTCGAGCTTTGCCTTCAAAAAGATCCAAGGAAGCGGCCATCTGCAAGAGATCTGTTAAAGCATCCATTTGTTCGGAGGGCGAAGAAGACTTCGTACTTGACGGAGCTGATCGAGAGATACGAGCGATGGGCTGTACATCACAAGGGAGACGACGATGACTCTGACGACGGTCACGAAGAGGCTCCACTGTCAAATGGCGGTAATGAAGATCTCTGGGATTTTGGTACTATACGACCTGCAGCAGGCAGAGGAACTGCAAGAGCAGGTCTAAATGCGATGGGAGATTCGGCCACGAATGCTAGATCCGCGAGGTCATCCGAGGGCGGGGACGATTATGCTGAGCGATCAAGGAGCTCATCCCCGACCAAAATGAAGGATTCGGGGTATGTCTCAAGCTTAGACACTGTCAAGGCCATGAACTCCCCAGCTTCAGAGCAACCCCGCCAAAGCTCGCCACAGAGGAAGCCTGTCCCTAACCTACAGCCTATCTCTCCTTCGAAAGTTCCTCTACCACCATCGCCCGAAAAGCAAAGAATGGCAGCACCAGAAACTCCACGACCGATTCAACAATTCTACTCGCCTCCAGCCGAATCCCCAGACTATGACCAGTCACTGCAGGAGCAACTCCAGAAAGATATGGGTTTCCTGAATATGAAATCTAGCCCCTCTCCTCAGCTGCCACCTGCGGAATTTAAGCCAGGTAGCACCTCACCACCTGCACCACCCCACCTGGTTTCGCGACTCCCATCTCAGCAACCACTCCCCAAACTTGGTCCTATCAAAATACCAGAGATACCTCCCTTCCGTGGTTCGGGCCCGCCCTTACAAAAAGTCACCAATCAAGCCGTTGCTGACCCCTCGAAAGCTCAGCTGCCAGCATCTCACTCACAGCCTAGCGCATTACAAAACATCAATCCCCGATACTCTGGTCAACAGCCGTTACCCGCACTCCCATCAAAGCTCCGCGACAGCACATCCTCGCGAGAAAGTCTGTCTTCAGAGTCCTCACGGACGCCGACATCCATGCCATCACCAGCAGCCACCAGTCCTAACGGCGAACTCGACGCCCTCAACGATGTCATCTTCCCCGCCCTTGAAGAAGCTTTGAAGCGCCGGCAATACCATCTGCAGCAAATGTTCCGCAACTCGGGAGGCACGACACCGAAGCAGCAGCGAGCGCAGGCAGCACACGAGAAATTGCGGAAGTTAGTGTATAAGCTTGCGCACGTCTGTAAGGAGATTGATTACTTTGATAAGCAGGAGCCGGTGGGGATGGGTAAGGACGTTGATGTGTTTTTGGAAGGGTTGCTGGAGGAGATTCTAGTAAGGGTTGAGCCGGCTGATGATGAGGATGTGGGTGAGAGGAGATGAGACGAGACTATGAATTGATGAGAACCGGTCGGGTGGATGCCTTTTGCTATTGTAGTGGGATGGGATAGATGCGAGGATACGGCGTTGGGGCTTGATGCCTTTGCTTGTGATGCATGCATGGATGGCACGATCGATGATCAAGATGGCGTCGGCATGATTGGAATGAGAAAGCATGATGAATGGAGTAGTAGTGTCGATACCCTAGAATTGAAGATGCAATGAATCAGATATTATACGGAGTATGGGTGTGGTAGATGATGGGGATACGGAGTACCAGATTCTAACCGACGAACCAAACAACAAAACACCACCCACCACATGGAAAGGCCCCCTCTTTCCTCCGGGCGCTCTTCGCCTTTTGATTCATCTTTTGCGTCAATAGATCTCGAGTTTTTTGTCTTCTTTCCGTGTGTATATACTTATTCCGTTTATATATATTATATCTGCTCTTGTCATCGCGTATCACACATCACATATCACACACACACACACACACACACACACGCACCTTCAACGGCTCGAGCTACCCTACCCTACCCTACCTGTTCCTACTCCTCCTCTTCTCTCCTCTTCTCTTCTATTCTCTTCTCTTCTCTTCTCTTCTCTTCTCTACGCAGTACTCTCCCTTTATCCCTCTATAAGAAAACGAGAAAAAAAACCAAAACCAAAACGAAAACGAAAACGAATTAAATCAAGCCCTCCGCCGTAAAAAAAAAAAGGGGGGCCCTCTCTCCTCTTCTCCATCTTTCAAGA